CGCGTGCAATTCATAATATACATCAAACTTTCCAACACTCTGGCATATTCCAATTGAGAGTCACTTTGACCTTCATTCTTTTTAAATGTACAACTTAAATCAATTGGAGTTTTGACTACATTGAAATTCAAGTAATTGAACTTATCCAATACTTTTTCAATATAATGAGATTGAGATAATGCTAGTCCCTGGGGAGTTTTGATAATCCTGACCCCTAAGATCAAATCAGCAACTCCTAAGTCTTTCATATCGAACTTGCTCGACAACATGCGCTTAGTAGCATTTATATCGTCAATTTCTTTACTCATTATTAACATGTCATCAACATACAAATAAACAATGACTTCATGATTCATAACATTTTTAATGTAAACACATTTATCACATTCGTTAATCTTGAATCCATTTGCCAACATTATTTGATCAAATTTAGCATGCCATTGTTTGGGTGCTTGTTTGAGTCCATAAAGTGACTTCACAAGTTTGCACACTTTCTTTTCTTTACCAGGAACTATAAACCCTTCAGGTTGTTCCATGTAAATTTCTTCCTCTAACTCTCCATTTAAGAAGGCTGTCTTTACATCCATTTGGTGGATTTTAAGATCATGCACTACTGCTAGTGCTATTAACATCCTAATTGATGTTATCCTTGTTACTGGAGAATATGTATCAAAGTAGTCCAGACCTTCCTTTTGTCTGTACCCTTTGACTACCAGTCTAGCCTTATATTTGTCAATAGTCCCATCAGGTTTCATTTTCCTTTTAAAGATCCATTTTGATCATAAAGGTTTATTTCCTGGAGGAAGATCAGTCAATTCCCAAGTGTGATTGCTTAAAATTGATTCAATCTCACTATTGACTGCTTCTTTCCAATAAGTTGACTCTGACGAAGACATAGCTGCTTTAAATGTTTGAGGTTCATTTTCAAGCAATAGTGCTACAAAATCTGGTCCGAAAGAAATAGATTTTCGTTGTCGAGTACTTCACCTAGGTTCCTCACTAGTTAGAATATTTTCCATTGATTCTTCTCGTGGTCATTTAGGTCTTTCACTTGTTGACTCACTTTCAGTTTTATACGGATAAATGTTTTCAAAAAACTCTGCATTATCTGATTCAATTATCGTATTAACATGAATCTCAGGATTATCAGATTTGTGAACCAAAAATCGACAGGCTTTACTATTCACATCATACCCAATAAAGACACAATCTATTGTTTTGGGTCCAATTTTAACCCTCTTAGGTAAAGGAACCTCTACCTTGGCTAAACACCCCCACACTTTGAAATATTTCAAGTTGGGTTTTCTTCCTTTCCACAACTCATATGGAATTGATTGTGTTTTTCGATGGGGTACTCTATTGAGTATTTTATTAGCTGTAAGGATAGCTTCCCCCCAAAGATTTCGCGCTGAACCAGAATTGATCATTAAGACATTCATCATTTCCTTTAATGTTCTGTTCTTCCGTTCTGCCAAACCATTTGACTGTGGTGTATAAGGTGCAGAGTTTTGATGAATAATACCATATTCCAAACATATCTCTGCAAAGGAGATTCATATTCTCCACCCCTATCACTCCGAATCATTTTTATCTATAGATTCAATTGGTTTTCCACTTCATTTTTGTATTGCTTAAATGCATCAATTGCTTCATCCTTACTATTAAGCAAATATACATAACAAAATCGAGTGCAGTCATCAATAAAAGTTATAAAGTACTTTTTCCCACCACGAGATGGTGTTGACTTCATATCGCATATATCTGTGTGAATTAAGTCTAAAGTTTTAGAATTTCTTTCAACTGACTTGTAAGGATGTTTAACAAACTTACTTTCCACACAAATTTCACATTTCGACTTATCGCATTTAAAATCAGGCAATACTTCTAGATTAACCAATTTTCGCAAGGCTTTGTAATTTACATGTCCCAAACGGGCATGCCATAAATCACTTAACTCCAATAAGTAAACAGAAGCAAAATTTTTATTGATACTGTCAATAACCATTACATTTAGTTTGAAAAGACCCTCATTGAGGTAGCCCTTTCCTATAAACATTTCATTCTTACTTATTACAGCTTTATCACTAACTAGGACACACTTAAACCCGTTCTTAACGAGTAGTGCAGCAGAAACTAAATTCTTCCTAATAGTAGGGACATGCAGAACATTGTTTAAAGTCAACACTTTGCCGGATGTCATTTTCAACATTACTTTCTCAGTTCCTGCAATCCTTGCTGTTGCTGTGTTTCCCATGAATAAATCTTCATCGTACTCAGCAGGAGTGTACGTTGCAAATGCTTCTTTTGCAGAGCAAATATGTCTAGTAGCACCTGAGTCGAGAAACCACTCCTTGGGATTTCCAACTAAGTTACATTCTGATATCATTGCACACAAGTCAACTGCATCTTCCATCTTTTCCACGATGTTTGCTTGACTTTTGCCTTTGCCTTTGTTTTTGTCCTTTCTTGGAGCATGACAATCAGAAGATCTATGACCAGCCTTGCCACAATTATAACAGTTGCCTTTGAATTTCTTCTTGGCCTGTTCTGACTTCTGCCCGTTGGACTTCTTTCTCTTTTTGTCTTTGGTAGGAGCTTCTTCAACAATATTAACTCCAATGATTGTTGAACTCTTACGCGACTTCTTTTCGGTATTTATGTTATCTTCCTCAATCTTGAGACGAATCACAAGATCTTCAAGCTTCATTTCTTTACGCTTGTGCTTTAGATAATTCTTGAAATCATTCCACGAAGGAGGCAACTTCTCGATCATTGCAGCCACTTGAAAAGCTTCATTTACTACCATATCTTCAGCAATCAGATCATGGAGAATAAATTGAAGTTCCTGCACTTGTGATCCAACAGTTTTACTATCTACCATTTTATAGTCTAAAAACTTTGCGACCACAAATTTTTTCAAGCATGCATCTTCTGTCTTATATTTCTTCTCAAGTGCATTCCACAACTCTTTTGAAGTTGTTATTGCACTATAGACATTATATAAGTCATCCTCTAAAGCACTCAAAATGTAACCTTTACATAGGAAGTCTGACTGTTTCCATGCTTCAACAATCATAAATTTTTCCCTGTCTGGCATATCATCAGCAGGTACTGGAGTATCTTCACTTGTAAATTTCTGCAGACCAAGATTGGTAAGCCAGAAAAATACTCGTTGCTGCCATCCTTTGAAATTCACCCCTGTGAATTTACCCGGTTTCTCTGCTTGTGATACAAGAGTTCGGATTGGTGCAGCAACAGCCACTGTAACACTAGTGTTTTCCATTTCCGATAAACAAAATTGATACAATATAAGTAAGCAATAAATTATAATTGCAGACTTAAAGGAGTATAAAATCACAAAGATTTTTATCTCCACCAGAAACACAGATTTATATTTAATTTCCTTAAGATTGTTGTCAATCTGTGTTAAGAAAATCAGAAATTACTGGTTGTAATAAATCATTCAGAAACACGAAGTAACTGAGATTTTTAGAACCAGTAAATAAGATGAACAAAAATTTATTTGTAAAAAATAATTTAATCTGTAAAACTTACCAGAATGTTGAATACTCTTTTATTTCTCTTTTTAGGAAGAAAATCAAGTCCACTGAATTCACAGTGTTCCCTTAAGGAAATTATTCCTCTCTAGTATCCGAGGTTTGATTTGGAATATAACCTCTCAGGGTAAAATGATCTTAATCAGTAGAGTGTAGATACCAAAAACTCTACTGTCAGCGAATCAATCCATAGCAGGAAAGTACACGAAGAAATATATGTGTTTTAAGAAGAAGGAAGATCAGAGAATTCGTTTTTAAATATTCTGAATACTGAATGGTATTTATAGGCAGGAATAATATATTTTGAAAGGTTGCTACCCTTTCAGAATTGACACGACCATTAATGAAAGGTTGCAAACTTTCAAATGGTATTGACTGTTCCTGAAAGTTGCAACCTTTCAGAACAGTCATGGCGGGAAATTTTTAATATAACGGAATTTAAAACGGGTCACTCGCGCGGATCACAGTCGGGTCGGGTTAACTAAAAAGTTGAAAACATTTCGGTTAAATTCTGTTATCAACTGATTTATTGAAAAATAATTTTTGGCCATTTAAATTAATTAATAAATAATTAAAAATAAATTTTGTCTAAAAAATTATCTCTCGATCGATCATTTGCCGAAGCCGAAGCGAGCGACGACGGCGGCGCGAGGGGGGTCCCTCTTTCCAACCCTTTTAACAATTAATAGGAGTGTTTATTTATTTAAAATCTCCTATTTTCATTTCCATTACCGATGAGGGACTATTGTCTTTTTCAATAAAGCATTAGAGGACTTTTCCAAGTTTCCAACCTTTCAAGTTCTAAACTTTTCAAATTCCTCTCCTTCCCTCTATTTCCCATCAATTCTTGCTACATACCCAACATTAAGAAACTAAATAAAAAGATACTTGTAACGACATTTTCATGTAGTGTTTATGCAAAGTTATATTCCTTTCTTATAGTGGTCAAAGTGATTACATTACAAGCAAATTTTGAATGACAACAACAACAAAGAGAAAGATCTTCGGAGTTTTACAAAGATCATCCAATAAGAATATCTATAAAATGTATCTAGTGTTTTGCAAATTCATTTAATAAAAGTTCGTAAAAATATAAACAATCCCATAGCTCAAGGACACAAATCAAGCATTAAATATATCTAATACACAGGATAGGAACCTCTCCATTCATTGCTAGCTTCTCATTATGGAGTGAGACTTCACAAAGTGAAATAAATACTTAGTTCGTGTCTTGCAACTTCAGAAGACAAAGCATACATGAAAGAACGTATAGTTTTGAGTGTCATTTTTATAATTATTATTTGTGAGGAATCACCCCAAGTATTACATCACGTGGAGAAAGGCATACCTCATTCGAAAAGTAAATTTCATTGCATAATTAGTTAAGCCATTATCCTTTCTACCAAACTACAAATTACATTCAAATTCTCAATCATAAAGTTCTCCAATTGGCCAACTCATATAGAAAAAATGATCAAAAAAAGAATCTTTTTACATTTTCTTTTTTCTTACACAAATTAGCAAAAACATACGACCACAATGCAAGAGAGGAAGAGAACTCAATTGATTAACCGCAATTCCTTTTATAATTTTTTCAACAAGGAAAATTTTCACCTCTCGATATGAACTATGCTAGATCAGTATAGCAGTTTTACCGTCCTTCCCTTCTCTTCCACTTTAAACTCCAAATAACTTTTATTTGCATTTGAAACTTTTAGATAGTTCGTTCCTCAGAACCCCGATATAAAATCCCAAATAAAAAGTTTAAATTAGTAAATGAAATTATAAACCGAATATGCTGTTATACATGCAACACTTGACAAAGTTAAAAAGTAGCATCAAACATACTAAAAAAAGGAAAAAATCAGAGAACAAGCAAGAGAAGAAGGAGAACCTCACAACACAGATTTTTCAACTTCTATATAGTAGAGGAAGAACATCAATAATCCGAAAGAGTGGAGAACAAAGACCAAAAGAAGTCAGCAAAACATATGGGTTAGATGCTGAAAGATTAAAGAGGAAAGCTAAAGATCTATTTGAGTAATAATAGTTTGACGTAATAAAGAAGAGAAAGAAATTACAGTGAGTTACTATTATATGTTACTCTAAACTGTTACGCCTGTGATCCGCTAAACGAGGAGTCCAGCACACGCGTTTATTCAATAGTTACCTTGTAATCAGTCAATTGAAGTTGTAAATTAGGCGGACCAAATTACTTTACAACTGACCCAACATGTTGCGAAGTATCACCATACAAAAGTGGTTCATCTAAAGCTCTCTCGTCCCCTGAAATATCAAGTGCAAGCAGTCTATGGGTTCGTAGACCTCTTTTATTTCCCCTGCTAGTGAATTAAATCTTTAGAGTTAGTTTAACTCTCTACAATGAGGTGCTAGAGAACAATTCCTCGTATTCGAGAACAAACCAAACACAACATCCTGAAAAGCTAACTTTTTAATGTTGAAAACATTTTTATGGCCACATATATACTATATTGGATATATTTCACGTATAAGTCAACCACCACTCCTCAAAATAATTTTAATCTAATTTTTAATGTCAAAACATCTATAATTTTATACTCTATATAAGATATCACCTTAGTCAGTCACACAATTTGTGATTGTGGACTTGTTAATTTTTGGAAGTCTATGCAAAAGAATTTTATCACACGTGATACTCCAGCCAAGCAAAGTCTATAAGGGGCGTATGTCCTTTATGTTACCTGAAACTATAACAAAATATGACATTAGACATAGCAAAATGTCAAGAATTCATTATTCAAAATTTCATGAATTGGGTGAGGGTGACAACTTAAGGAGAGATTACAATACGATTTACAAAACCGTCAAGATAAACGTCAATCATAATATATGAATGATGTAATAAGCTAAACAACAACAAGTCGACAATATACTCAGTGGGACGAACACAACAACATTTGGTTCCACCAAAAGCAACCTAAAGTGTAAGGTGTAATCGCACTAACTTTTCATCAAACCATCTGTATCCCTCAAAACGTATTTACTATTTGCCATAGGCACACTCAAACGAAGGGACTAACATACATCTTCAAGTTTAACAAAAGTGTGATAGCTTCAGGTATAAGGGATCATAGTCCATAAATAACGTTTGCATTTAATAATTGATAAAGAAAAGTTAAAGACTAGTCTTAACAGTGGTAAAATATTAAAGTGAACTCACCCAGTGAGAAATTTAGGGTTACAATCTCTAGCTAATCTGGACATTTTAAGTCGGTAAATTGAAAACTAAATCACACAGATCAAATTGATAGATATTTTAGTGTTACAATATCTACTTAAATCAGACAGAAGGATATTTTCTTGGTTTGATTTGATAGAATTAAGGTCGGCGTACCTGCCATATAACAATATGACAAAAATTGGTAGAGTTTTTAATATGAAGTTTCCTATGCTCCATCCTGCATATTTGTAATTCTCCCTTCTCCTCGAAGTAAATGCAAGGTCTTGAAAATGAGAAATCATTAAATTAAAATTACCCATATCCAGAACAAAGTGGAACACAAAATTTCAATAATAGAGTTTTAAGAAAAAATAAAATTGATATACAAACTCGTAAATAGGTAAGTCGGAGAGGAGAAGTAGAAGAAGGAAAAACGCGGTATTTGAACTCTAAATATAATCATGCAATTGTATAACAAGTAAAATATCAAATTAATCGGCAAGACTGAGAGAAAAATTAAGCCAATCAAATGTAAAATCGGCCTAAAATCAAAACAAAATTAAAAAATAAATAATCAAGGTGATTGGAGTTTAATACACGTGTTAATAATATAACTCCAATATTTATCACAGATGGCCCAATATAATATATCATTTCCAATACTTTTGTTACAATGTGTAATTGCCGTGTTCGTATCCTCAAGTCCCACTTCTAATAAGGAGTAGATAATAATTTTGTGTTTATAAATTATTGGTCTCTTGGGTTGTTGAATGCTGTAATAGACTATATAATTAGGGGTGGTATGTATAGTTTTGGTTCAAAATTTTCATTTATCAAGTTAAACCAACTATTTTTAAAAAATATGTAAATCAAATCAAATCAAATAAAGTGGTTTCGATTTTTCTTATTTTTTTAAATAAAAGTTGGTTGGATTTTTAAGTATTTTTTTGGATAAGGTTTTCTAAAAAAGTAATTAGTTATCCCCCAAAGAGAAATTGTCCTATTGAAATCAACAAAATATTAAAAAAGAATTATATTTTCTTTTGTCGTTCGGTAGTTAATTTTTGCTTTCGAATGCACACTGGAGGTTATGCGGTCGTGCAAGTAATACAGTTTCTCCAAAAGAGCCAAATTATCAAACCAAAAACATTCGTCAATTAACTATTTTACTAAATTATACTAGTCTAGGCATTTATTCAAGCGCCAAAAGAATTCAAATTTTATCTGTAAACAAAAAAATGCAATAATTTAATAATAGATCAACCTTCCATGATTGAGGCAATTCCAGGGATACAACATACTAAGAATTCATACGTCACATCTTTTTCATGGATTTCATAAGGTTATCAAATTATTGATTTAAAGGGTTGATATTATGATCACGATCTCTCGATCTCTAACCACCTAAACAAGTTGACCTTCTAACTACATCGTTCAGCGGAAATCGACAGACTCAAGTGTTGAACATTTATTTTTCATCTTGTTTCGTCAACACTAAACACAGACCTAAACAAGTGGTATTCAATAAAAGATCACACTCCTTATAGTCTATGTTCTATCTACTATTCGTCTTTCGAGTTAAAGAGTAGACAATGTATTTTATTTTATCAGTGGCCTGGCATCAAAATACTAAATCAAGAATAATAATTCATATAATAACCAAATTCATCCATAAAAATGATGTTCAACAATCATTCATAGCTACAACCACATAACAAATTAAAAGTTCCTTTAGTCGACTCACCTGCAAATTAGTTTAATAGTATATAATAACGGTAAATAAAGGACTCAGATAATATTATACTCCAATAACCTTGGGTTTCAAGGGCTTTCGTAAGATCTTGTTGAGACCTTGGTGTTTACAAACTAGTTCGACTTGGAGCCATGTCTGATATACACATACGACCATTCTACTTTGACACAACCTCTACTTGTATAACCTACACTTTGATCTTTCTTTCTCTTCCCTTTTTAAGTTGTTTACTTAAGAGAATATAATGCTTTTATAAAATATAAAAGAAGACAATAATACAACTTTAAGTGAAGTGTGTATTTCACAACTATGGCCAAGGAGGTTTATATAGATAGGTGGTTTGTTTACTCTTGTATGAAAAAACCCAAGGGTGTGTCTCTCAATCACGAATAATGACAGATGGATTGAGGTGATTTGGTGGTTCACGTCCACATTAAATATGTGCATAATCAGACCTTCCTTGATTGAGGTGATTTGTTGATTCATGTCCATATTGGATATGTTTATGATCACTCCTTCCTTCTCAAGATGATCTTCTCGAATCCTAGCTTGATTTGAATCTCTTCCTTCTCTTGATAGCTTCCTTGATTCTTGGTTTGGATTGCTGATGACTGTCCATGCTTAATCAAATGTTTTTGGGATTGAGTCTTGAATTAATTTGTAATTCTTCTAATCGTGGTTTTCCTATCTTCCGTTGGATATCAGATTGTGCATGCTTGACTCCTTTTCTTTTTGATTTTTTTCCTACAAAGGGTACATATATTTTTAAGAGTCGTTTATCTAATTTAGCTTGTTTGATGAGGTTAACAATCCCCCATTTTTTGTGATGATAATTAATTCACAATTTAATATAATGGAGCTTCCCCATTTTCCCTGAAATGTATTGTTGTATGTTCCACTTTAATTTGTAGCTTCCCATGCCTTTATGGTTTGTTGAAGCTCCCCCTGTCTTTTGTGAAAATTGTGGGAACAAATCTCCCCCTTTGGCATAGTCAAAAATGAAAAAAAAAATAGGAACACACAGGATAAGGCCAAACCAAGGTAGCAACAAATAATAACAGAGTAATAATTAGGAGGAAAAAGAGTCCTCTATAAGCAATCCAAAAAGTAGATAGAAGTAGGGACAAACCTTCAGTTTAAAGATTAGTTCAAAAGTAGTAGTAGAAAAAAAATAAATGACCCAAGGTTAGATATTCAACGATCGCCCAAAAAGTACTTGTGGGTGTTGATGATCTTTACATAAAAGGAATTGTTGGAGTGCTCTAGAAAGAATGGAGTAAGAGACCCCGACAACAAGTTCATTGTTTGAAGACATGACTCCACTTTTTAGAGAGTCAACTTGTTTATTTGAAGATTCTTTCCTGTCTAATGTGGAAGTTCAGATTGTGTTGCAACCATAGAGCATACTCAGATAAAACCTTGGCTTTGGTACCAGTTTGTTGGGAAAACGCGGACAAGCACAAAAGAATATATGGTAAAAGTAATGGAAATAAAATGAGAAAATAACGACACCAAAAATTTTACGTGGAAACCCTTCTGAATAAGGGAAAAAACCACGGGCCAAGAGGAGCAACTGATATTACTATAGTAAAGAATTTTGCACTGTGTAGTCACGGAATACAACACTCAATGTGACTACTACACACTCAAAAGGAACAACACTCTTTTGGTTTCCGTCTTACTAAAATATCGCTCACACTCTATTTTTCTTCACAGACTATTTTCTTATATAGTCTATGGAATACCTCACTTTGCTCTCAAAATGGTTTTTCTCTCTAACTTGGTGTGTTCTACAAATGAGCAAGAATGCTCTATTTATAGAAGGATAAAACCATACCTATGTCACTAATGACATATGTAAACATAGCAAAGTCAAAAATGATTGCAAATCTTACCAATTTGCCAAACTACCAAATCTTTTCTTTTCAACTCCAATTACTATTCCTTTTTAACAATTGTTTGTACCAATTGAATAGCTATAGTTGACTAAAACAATGGGATGGATTCAACATCTGCCTCACCATTATTAGAAGAGATGCAGAGAGTTGCATAGAAGAGTCAAATAACTTCTACAAAAAATTCAAGACCGCACATTCTAAACAAAAAAGAGAATTTTTTAGCATTGAGAAACGAACAAAAAGCTTTCCTTTTGACTGAAGAGGTAGGAGAAACAAGAGATTCATCAGAGGAATCAGAAAAGAGGGATAAGATGTTGACTTCATCAAAGCTTGAAGAAGTTGAGTTCTTGAGAGAGATGAGAGAACAAAACAAAGAGAGTATATAAATAAGGATAGGGTAGAAAACTAAAGGATTCTTAAGAAAATGAGACAGAGAGAGAAGAGTCAGAAAGGAAGGGGACACGTCTCAAAGAAAGTGAAAAGATGGGAGTTATGGAGAAGAAAAAAGGGTGATATAGGTAATAACTAAAGGCAGGAAATGTGAAAAAAAAATGTTAACACATAAAATAAAAAATAAAATTTATTAAAACAAGTAATACCCATGCAATTTTGAAGAAAATGAAATCTTTCCTCAAGCAGAGGTTTTGTAAAACTCTCAGCTAACTGATTTTCTGAATCAATGAATTCTAGAGAGAAATTCCCATTTTAAACATTATCTCTAATAAAATGATGCTTGATATTAATATGCTTAGCTCTAGAATGATGCACAATAAATTTAAAAATGCTGAAGGCGTTGATATTATTGGAAAAAGTAAGAATCACTTCATAAGAGAGATCATAATCAAGTAATTGATGCATAATTCATAATAATTGAGTACCACAACTTTCCACTACTAGATATTCAGATTTAATAGTAGAGTCCAACAAATGGTTTTTTTTGTGCCATGAGATCAAAGATTTTCCTAAAGTTTGCCCATCATTTTGATCACCTGTAAAATCAGCGTCTGAGTATCCAATAAAATACAAGTGAGAGAAGCGAGGATACCATAGCCCTAATTTAGTGTTTCTAATCAAATAGCCAATAATTCGCATTATCGTAGTGAGATATGATTCCTTTGGAGCATATTGAAAGCGTGCACACTTTCTTACACTGTACATGATATCTGCTCGACTTGCGATGAGATACAGTAGTGACTCGACTATTCCATGATACATTTTCTCATCTACATCTAATAACATCTCAAGAATTTCCAAGTAAAGACTCGAACTATTCTTCATTTACATGTAATGTCATATCAGGTGATTCTTAAATTGACCATATGTGTAAAGATAAATTCTTTAGTGTGAGAGTGATTTTTGATGTTAATTAAGGTTACTAGAAACTCCTAGCACAAAATTGAGTTGAAAGTTTCCTTATCGATTAAGTTTGATATAAGATTCTCTTTGCGTGAACTCCAAACGACTATGTCACTTAAAATATATAGAGTTACATGGCCCTTAATATCAAATTAAAGGTATTTGAATCTTCTTTCCAACGTCATCAATTTCGCAGCAATCTAGTTTTGAGTAAAAAAAATATAACCATTTTAGTAACCTGATACGACGTAGTGACGAATTAGCTGACGAGAAGACTTTTAAAAAGGGTCACCTTTGTCTTTTTACCACTAAGAAAATACTAAATGAATTTATTGACTAATTAAATACTAGAAGCAATCAGATTTAATCCATCATTATCTTCTTGAAGAGATTTCAAGAAACTAATTTAAGAATCTCAAGAAAGGTTTTTGTTTAATTGTTTACCTTCAAGCTAGTGTTTAAATTATTATGATCAATTTCCTATTCAAGATCTTTGTTCTTCCAGGAAAGACTATCGTAGAGTTGGACTACTTCGTCCTCACGCCCTACATCTACTTTCAAATAAGTAAAAGAGTAATCTAGATTATATCCCTAGATTTGAGTATTCTTAAGATGAGTTGATTTTGAGTTCTTGAGTTTCAGATTCTTTTTTTAATTATTGAATTGATATATGTTGTGCATTAAGATTCATGAGTTTATTCGTTCATGTCTATCTTTTTTAGCATACCTAAGGAAAATGAGTATTTTTTTAGATGAGCAGTATCGTGGAGTTCTTAGTTCTTGAGTTTTGAGTATTGCGTTCCCATATTGCTATTAAGATCCCTGAGTTGAGTAGTTCATGTTCATAATTCCATATGAACCATATGAATTGACTTATAAATCTTGAGAAGCTTTTTGAAGCCACCACTTGAGTTTTAAACTGAGTTTTTGAGAAAATAAAGATGATTTTTGAGAAAGAATTTCTAAAACACGATTAGTATGAAAATCAAGTACGGCACAATGTTTATGCAGTATGATATCTAGTTATGCCATCAATGTTTATGCAGTATGACTTCCCGAGTCATCGATGATCATATAACATTATGATGTTGATATATTTTTGGCAAAGATTTTTCAAGTATGAATTGAGTTAGAGTATAAGAGAACTAAGTATTCCCAAAGTTATTAGTTTTTATATTGATAAAAGAGAAACGTTGATTTATAAATGAGTTATGAGTTCAAATATATTTCAAGAGGAGTTACCTATTTTAAGAGGATAGTTTGAGAAATTATCTCAAACCAGAGGAAGACTATGTTTTTAAACATTGAGCATGAGTAATAATATTGGGAGTAGTATTGAGCACCGATATTGGGGAAAAGTTCAGACAACTCACATTTCTCATGTGGTGACAATCACATAGTGATGTGTTCAGAAAGAGTTAGAGTGATATATCGATTCATTCACACTCTACTGTATTCCTCAAAGTTTAGCCGTTACAACATATTGTTGATATTCCTAATATCAAAATTGTGTCTATGACCTATGATAATACACTTCAGAGAGATTCACATCTACCCTCTATTCACAGAATGAGGGGCAAAGACTCTAGCCCATTGGTCACAATCTTATTCATAAAGTTATGAATATCATATATGAACCTATTCATATAATCACTCATGTCTCATAGTATGTTCAGTATAACAAATTCATGATTTACTCTCAATGGCTAGTAACATAATTTTATGTCAAGCATATTCTTATATCAGATATCTCGAATGAATCATGTTTATGATCTTTTGCCTTAATCTCTTTCAGTAATCCTTTTTAGTTTTGAGAGTGGTGCTGTTGATAGTAGTTGTGTAAAGGATAGAAAAGAAGATTTCTATTTCTTATTGTGATAGTGATGGTGTGTTTATTCCATCTAATGTTATGAATGTGGAGGAAAAAGGAGATAAGGTTTAAACAATAAGTAATAAGTTAGTATCCTCGTAATATTGCATGAAATTTAAGTTAGTAGAAGTGATGGGAGAATGAGAAATTCTTACAAGGAATAGTTAGTATGTGTTCATGGGGTGGTTATAGTAATAGGCTTGAATGTGGTGTTTTTAGTGTGTGGATGAATGCATGATGCATTAGATGTTTCTTGATATGGGCTCAAGGTTGGTTCAAGGCAGGCTATAAGGAAAAGTATTCTAAGGATGAGATTCCATATAGAGGTATAGAACCTAAATTTTGTGTTTAGATAAGTATATTTAACATCTTGTGATTTAGAGATTAATCTTGAACGTAATAAAAGCAGACAATATAACTTAGACGTTTGTAACAATTTTTATAAATCCTTGTAGGAGTTATGAGTTACAACTAATAGGGTGGGGTGTTCACAAAGAAGGAAATGGTTTAGAGGTGTTGCTAGACTTGTAAGCTAGAAGTTGTATTTTTTAAGGCATAATAGTCTTATTCTTACTTCATTCCAAGATTCCTTTGATTCATGTGAACTTTATATAGAGCATGAATATGTTCAAAACAATATCGTTCTAGACTTATATGCTATAGACAGTTCCAAACTCTTAGTATGATTTAGTTTCGCCTATGTTAGTAGGGAATTTCAAAAGTCACAAAGATAGTAAGAGTAACTCCTTTCCCCTCTATCCTCAGTTTAAACATCATTCGAGGACGAATGGTCCCAAGGAGGAGATATTGTAACACCCCAAAATTTTTTAAGTTAAGACCCGAACTATTCTTCATTTACATTAAGGTTGTATCGGATGATTCTTAAATTTACCATACATGTAATGGTAAATTATTTAGTTTGGGAATAATTTTGGATGTTAATTAAGGTCAGTATAAACTTCTAACACAAAGTTGATTTGAAAGTTTCCTTATCGATTAAGTTTTGATGTAAGATTCTCTTTGGGTCAACTTCACATGACCATACCTATTAAATTATACATAGTTACGTGGCCCATAATAAATCAAAATAGAGGCATATGAATCTTCTTTCCAATGCCAAAAATTTCACAACAATCTGAATTTTGAGTAAAAAGTTATGACCATTTCGCAACCTGATAAAGTATAGTGACGAATTAGTTGGCAGGAACACATCTAAAAGGGTCATTTTTATCTTTTTACATCTAAGAAAACCCTAAATGAATTTCTTGACTAATTAAAGACACAAAACAATCATATTTTCATCTCTTAATCCATAATTCTCTTCTCTCTCAAACCCTAAGGCAAAATCTTAAGGAAAAATCAAAGTAGAGAACTCTATTCAAGATTCTTACAATCTTTTTCAAGATTCTTCTTCAAGAGATTTCAAGAAACTAATTCAATAATCTCCAGAAAGGTTTTCTTGATTGTTAACCTTCAAGCTAGGTTTCAAGGCTTCTAATCAAGCTTTATTTAAGATTCTTCAAGAACCTGATTCTCACAGCTAAGGCTATCATAGTGTTGGAGTAGTTCTCCGTCACACCCTACATCTACTTTCAAATGAGTAAAA